GTCTACCTTGTCCACATCTGCACCTAGACACACAGCTGCACCACGGAGACAGTGTGTACATGGACACACGAGCCACAGCAATTGCCTATAAAGGAGTCTCCCCTTATCCATGGTTTCAATCCCTTTGTCCAGCATACCATGCTGTTTCCACTACCTGCCCATTAGTCACCTAGTAGCTGCCTTAGTCACTTTCTGGTTGCCAAGACATAATATCTGACACCTGCAACTTAAAGGAGGAGAGGTTTATTTTGGTCCACAGTTCTGAAGTTTCAGCATATAGTCAGCTGACTTACACAAGAAATCTCATGATAGAAGGGTCTGGCAGAGGAAAATTGCTCACATCACGTTGGTCAGGAAGCAGAGGAGCCAGGGAGAGAGATAGGTCCTTCCAGGTCAAGCCCCTTGTGACCCATCTCTTCCAACCAGACCCCAGCTCCTAACAGCAAGTCAACTACAGCACCCCAGGATTCAATCACCTTCCAAAAGCTTCATCCATAAGCTCATGAGACCTTTGGGGACATTCTTGATCTATACCATAACAGCCATCTGTGTTATCAGATGGACTATCATGGTGTCACAGTTCATGTATTGAAGTAACTCTTATTTTACTTAATAATGGTCCCAAGTGCAGATGTGGTGATACAGATGATTCAAGTGTGCCAAAGAGAAGCCTTTAAGTACTTCTTTTAAGTAAAAAGGTGAAAGTACAAGGAGGAGATATTTAGAGACTACATTCATATAACTTTTATATCAATGTATTTGTTATAACTTCATTGGTTATTAGTTATTGTTAATCTCTGTTTAATTTATAAATTAAACTTCCTTATAGTTACGTATGTGAAGGAAAAAGTATACATAACATTCAGTACAATTTGTAGTTTCAGTTGCTCATTGGGGGTCTTGGCATACATTCTTACAACCGTTGTGGAGACCACTGTAGTTTTAAGCCAGTGAGTTTTGGGGTGCATTGTTAGTCAATCATAGCTAACCGACACACCCTATCTGCTGCAGATTGGAAAGGGATGTTGGTTAGAGGAGAGGAAGGGCTACTAGAGACAAATGTGTTGATTTGAACAAGACAACAAACCAACAATGAAATACCTGAATCAGGGGCTCAAAGAACATAATAGTCTGGAACCATTTAGGGAAAGGAAGGCAGTTCGTGGCACCTCCCAAGGTCCTGATCACTGGCAGAATTTTAAAGCACATATACGAGAATAATGACCTGAAATGTACTGTCCTATCTTCAGGAAGACAAATACATAAACCATATTTGGGGAAGAGTTCCATAAAACGCTTAAGGTGTTCAGTGGCATTTATCAGGAAATTGCATCAGTGTGTGCAGAAACCACACGTTCTGAGACAAAATCTGGGTAGCAAGCTTTTGTGTTGCTTGTAGGTACAAAAGGCAGCCTAGGAAATGCAGTTTGTTTCACGATGCTGGCATTTCAGGGGCATTTAGACATTCATGGGGACAATGGACAGACTATTTAAACTAGGATGATCTGAGAAAATCTGTGCCGAAAAGCTATCTCCTCATGTGCAACCCTTCCCTCCCCGAGGACACCAGATTAGCAGTGTGTGCAAGGCATGAGGGGAGCCCCACAGATCTGAGGCTGCACCAGCCTCCAGCAGCCTGCAGGGCTCAGAAGAGAGAAAGGGTGGGTGGGAAAAATTTCATTAGCCCAAAACTGCTATCTTCAGGGCCAGTCTCCCTCCTTGGTCCATCCTGCATGGCTCTGAGGAGTATATGCAAGTGCAATCTGTCTCATGCATTTGAATTCTTCTCCTTTGCAAAGCTCTGTTAATCACCATGCTGGAAAAGAATCCTTGCCATTTAATGTGGGTGCTGAGTGCCACAGACTGGACCAAGCACTTGCTATGTGCCAACTCACTAACACTGTAAGTTAAACACCACTACTATCCCCCCTCTAAAGAGGTGGAATCATGGTGCAGAGAGATAAGCTACTTGCTTCATCAGCTAGAAGCCAGGAGATGGCTCAGGCCATCTACAACTGGCTCCAGACTGTCTCCTAAGTCGGCTGTTCTGTTCCTTTGTGGAGCTTCCTTACTCCCTCGTGCTGGCTCCGGCTGCACCCTTTCAAACTTGGGACCTTGCGCTTGCAAGGCAGGCGCCAGAACCACTGAGCTAAATCCCCACCCCTCTTTCCCCCACTTTGATTTCTGCCTTTTCAGAACCGGATCCACACTATCACTAGTCTCCCTCCCCCATGCCAGTTTCCCGGAACCAAGTGAAGAATGATGGGGACCTTTTCTCAGGGGCATTCGGTTCTGACTAATTACCACTTATCACCTGGAGCAGGCCCAGGGAAACTGGATCTGGATGGGGCTCTGCAGCCCACCTGAGAGAGCTCAGCTTTCGCCTCTGGCCAGTAGCCAGCACCACCTCCCTGCCCGCCTCCCTCCCCCTCCCACACTTGTAGAGCAGAGCTGCTGATGGACCAGACTCCAGGCGGCTTTATCTCCGGCTAACACCCGGCTCCTCTCCCCACTCCTCCCTATCTGGGAGTTTCCTTGGGGCACTAATGAAAAACCCTCCTATCACATTGAAAAGCTGCCAGTTACTGCTGCTGGGAATGTCTCCTCTGGGGTCAGACTCCTGGAAGCTTCTAGCTGGGGAGTGAGGAGCTGCGGTTGGAATAATCCCCAGTGTGAGGAGCTCTCAGGCATAATTAGAAGTACCAGGTGGGGCTCCTCCCTGCCAGCAGAAAACAAATAAACAAACAATAGGCAGTGCCAAGCCCACCCCCTCCTCCCACCTGGGCTCTCTCCCTTGCCTGGCCTCTGCACACCTGCTGTGTTCCCCACCTCCTGCTGACTGGTCCAGACCTCACACCCCAAAGAATAGACAGGCATTTCTCTTTGGGGTGAGTTCTCAGGGCAGAGGATCCGTGTCACTGTAGATGCTTCGCCAGATCCTCAGGGATCAGATCAGTCCACTTGAAAATGATCCAAAGTGCAGTCTTCTTGAGTTTAGCCTGGAACCATGGACTCCAAATCCCTAGGGCTGAGGCTTGGGGATTTCTATTGTGTAAGACTATGGTCCTCAGACCACTAAATGTTGGCAACTAGACCCCAGCAGAGATGCTCCCTGTACGCTAGCTCCTATGATCACTCTACAGAGCCCTTCTGAGGCCAGGCATCAACACTGCTGGCACACTGACTCCATAACGTGCCAGTATGGCCGTTTCTGTCCTTGCTTCACAAAGAAGTTTGTAGTTCCTCATGGGTTGTGGCACTGATACAGCTGAGCATCCCATCTGATTCCCTCTCAGCCATGCCTCTGGGGCAAAGGAGCCACAGTGAGATCTAAAAAGCATCTCAGAACCTGATGCTTTTGCCAGAGCACAGCATCATGATAATGAAGGTATGAGGTGGCTCTGCAGCTTACAGAGTTAGCTGTAACTGCCATTCTAGAAGAACTGGTGTCTAAGTATAAGGCAGCTCCAGCCATTGGCAACCTTCAGAATCGTTTGCATTAGGGAGAATAGGAATACAGTGGTACCTTGGTACTCATTGTCATTAATTGGTTCGAGGCGGCATGATGAGTACAAAAATGGCTGTATCATACAAATTACTTTGGCCAGAAAAGGCAGCAACTCACAAGGCAATCTACTGACCAGCTGTAGCTTACATATTTAGTACCAAACAAGCAACAAGCACTGGGACAAAATTTTCATGTCAAAAATGCATTAAGTACCAAATTTGACAAGTTTCAAAGCAATCCAGTACCAAAGTATGACTGAACCAATGATCCTAAGTGGACATGAATTTGTCACTCTCCCCTCCCAACTCTGTCCCAGAACATTTGGCAAAGTCTGAAGACATTTTTGGTTATCACAACAGTGATAACTGATGTCTACCCTCTACTGGGTAGACATCAGCGATGCTGTTAAATACACTATCATGCACCAGGCATTATAAACACAACCAGCAATCATCTGGCCATGTCAAGGGTGCACTATCAAGAAATCCTTGGAGAGATAGCAGATGCCACCAAAGACCTGAGTCCAAATCCACAGATGTCCTTGGGCTCCCTGAAGGCATAGTGTTAATTCAGGCCTTTGATTTGGAGCTGGACTTTTCATAGCTTCCATTTGTCATTATTTTTCTAGAAAGAAGATGTGGATCAGCCTCAGCACCAGCAGAGAAAGGCTTACTGTCAGCCAGCTGCCTGTTCCAGCTGGGCTTAAAGGACTCAGTTTATCTGATGTTGAATAAATATTAAGACCCAAGTTAAGCCCCGACTTCTTCAGAAATTGGCCACTGCTTTAACAGCAACATATGGATGAACAAATGTTCAGTTCTGGGCTGCCTGATTAGATTTATTCCATACAGATTCCCCAGGTGGTCTCCTGTCTTCACTGAAGAATTCAAAACCAGACCATTTAGTTGATAAAGTTGAATCTCCATGAGTTAACGGAGTGGAACCAGCACGGGTGCAGATTGTAGCATACACGCTCTTGTGGAAGCCAGGCTGGAGGGGCTAAATATTTTCTTTAGAGTTGATTTTGATGCAGTTCAGTGGTTGATAGTGTGTGGAGGCAGGGCACCTCCTGAGGATCCAGTCCCCTCCTGTTTACGTGGCCGGTACCTCAAAGGACACACATAATTTCTTTTCCCCATAAAGTGAATCTGGGCATTTTATAGCTGAAAAGGGAGTGATTCCATTTGAATTAATCAAGGGGCTGAAGGCAAAGGTGCATGATGGAGCTTTTAAGGACAATCTTCCCTGACTGACAGGGTCCCGTGGCCACCCCCTGAGAAGCTTTAGCAATAGGACATTTCTTGACATCACTCAAGGGAGGCCTGTTATCTTGGCTACACACACAGAACCTGTGGTATTTTTATACATCAATTTAATGAATAGCTACACTAACTCTTAAAGTTGAACACACTTGTTAACTATAACCCTGTAACATTCCTTTTCCCTTATAAAGTAAGAAGAAAACAGTAATATTATCAAGGGGAAAACATACCTTTCAGCCACTTTGGACATTTTCAAACAGTGTCTGTCAATTTGTGCATTTAAAAATGTTATCTGGGGAAAGAGAGAACAAGGATGTTGAGAACAGAATAGAATTCTTTTTTCTCCTTCAGCCTATGAACCCAAATCCTATATTCCCATCAAAATTCCAAAACTGCCTGTGGCAAGACTTCTCCTACCCTCAGGATTTGTACCCTAGCAAGCACTTTGCCTTTTAAAAATTTTTTACCACACTTAGGATTCATACTCTAAAGTTTAGCCTATTTTACCTGTTATTTTTGCTTGTACTTTGTTATCACTTAAGTCTCTATTCCCAAGAGTCATTCCCCAAACTGAAAGGCAGCATATATCCTACAAAGCTTAGCAACAGCATGGACAGCTAATGCATGTAACATGAAACCCGTTTGACAAAAGCCCCAGTGACCATTCCTCCCCCCACCTTTCCCAAGTATATCACAAACACTAGGAATGTTCGACTCGAATCATCAAAGAGCTATTTCACAGATCTGTCCCCCTACATCTAGTAGTAAACTTGTCATGGGAAGGCACCTAAAAGTTTCCTCTTTCCTCCCCTCCACCCACATCAGAAGCCAGTAGAGCATAACATGAAGAGTTGGTCCTAACATTCACTGTCTCAGTGCTAATCAATAGCAGAAGCAGCAATGTGATTAGTCTTTATCGAGCTCCTCGGCATGAAAGAAAATAACATTCCACCACACACGCTGAAATGGCAATGGGATGGGGATTCTTTATTCTTAAGTTTTTCTTTCTCTGTTGTTTGTTTGCTTTTGAGAAAAGGCCTCACTATGTAGTGCAGGCTGGCCCTGGCAATGATGCTCTTGCCTCGGCCTCCCAGTGCTGGTACTAGAATTACAGGGCTACCCCACAGTCCTGGCTCTTAAACTGTCCTTAGGAGGAATCACAGCAGGAGGGTGGAGCGGAGCTAGTGAAGTATGTTACAGTTTGAATGACCACCCAGGGACATGTGCTCCTCCCTCTCCAGCTCCCACAGCAGTCAGTGGGAAGCTCAATTATAGCCTTCTTCATAACTGCTGGTGGAGAAGTCTACCTCTCAAACTTCCACGGGTTGCTCACACACCGTGTTCAAAGGTTCAAGTTGTCCACAGTGGGGTGAACTCAAAGCTCACATAGCCTTCAGAGGTGAGCATTAAAGGGCCTTGAAACCGACTCATCTCCTGGGAGTGAAGCGGTCACTGCACTCACCTGTTTCCGGATGTCCTCTTTTGTGGTTTTCCTGATGGGCTGGCTGGGTATGTGCACAGGGCTCTGCGACTGTGACTCTTCAGTTACACCATACACTGACTAGAAGAAGAAGCAAGAACACACATAAGCTATGTACCCTCAGAGTGGAGGGAGGACTGAGAGGGCCTCATCTGTGACATCCTGGATATGAGTGAGTGATTGGCCTTGAATTTTTTTTCTTTTAAAGGCAGAGCCTGCATTTTTAAAAAAATTAACTTTATTGGTACATTGTAGGTATACATTATGATCACATTCATCATTGAGAATTTGTACCTATACATGATATATCTTAGTTCTTGTTTTTTCCCCATTTCCCTTCTCTCCTTTCCACTCCTCCCTATTTACAAAAGCATTGTTTCCATTTTTTCCTCTTTTCTCATATTTTTTCTTTCTCTTTTTTCCCTTCCCCCTCCCGCCTACTTCCCCTTCCCTTTTGAACCTATTTCACAGTATCTATCCTATATTTTGGTCCTCATTTACACTTGCAGCACATAATGTTTACATTCCTTGCATGGAGTTGGTGCATGTATATAGCACATCTTAATGCCTTTTTTCATCCCTTTCCCCCCACTTCCTCCATCTTTGATTCCCTTTCCATTTGGGAAAGGTCTACCTCCCTACTTCCTATAATCTACCTTTTATTTTTCTCTTTATTTCTAATTTGGGTTTCTCATATAAGAGAAACCATGCACTATTTAAACTTGTGTATCTGATTTATTTCAGTTAATATTATGGTCTCAAGGTTCACTCATTTTCCTACAAATGACTCAAGTTTATTTTTCTTTATGGAAGAGTAGTATTCCATTATGTATAAATACCATATTTCCTTTATCCATTCATCTGTTGATGGACAAGTAGGCTACTTCTAAGATTTAGCTATTATAAATTGTTAAACTATGGCAATTGAGGAATCTCATCCCATGTTCAGGTTATAACTGTTAGAAAAAAATCTTTCCTTTCATTGAGAGGAAATTGTCTCCTTGTATATCATTGCTTCTCCAAATGTAGTCTATAGACCATCTGCAGGAATCATCTGAGGGTCCTTGGTAAAATGCACACTGCTGAGCCCTGCCCTGGGCTCACAAAATCAGAAACCTTTGGTGTGGGTTTGGGATCCTGCACTTTTATCAAATGTCCCAGGTGATTCTTCCCCAAAAGAAGTTCAAGGACAACTGTTAATGATTATGTAAAAAAGATCTTCTTTAGATTTTCTGCTGGTCAGCAGGTGACAGGCCTATCTGGTATACAATTGGAACGTCAGGGCTTTGGGTATCCCTTTTTAAATTAAATAGATTTCTGGACTCAGCTATGGCTCCTTTTTCAACTGTCCCTAGTGTTACTAGGAATAGACTAAAGATAATCTTTGCTTTGGGAAGGAAACAAAGCCCTTAAGGGCATCCAATGTGTCGCTGGAATCAGTACAATAAAGGTGGGCTCAAGGTGTACATGATGCCATCAAATTCTGGATTATTAGAATTAGGGGTCTATAAGGATTAAATGAAGATATTCAAGACTAATAAGTTAAAGTATAGCACAAGGGCATTTTACATTAGTGATGAATGAAATACACAAGTAGATTCAAGAAATGTCTTTCTGTCTCTTTCTCCCCCTACCCTCATATGTACATGTTTACAAGTCATTTCTGATCTGAAGTCTAACATCCTCCAAACTCTGAAGCTTTTTGAGCACCAATATGACACACAAATGGAAAATTCCACACCTGACCTCATGGACAGATTATAGTCAAAACACAGGCTCACTAAAAAAATTGTATAGAATTACTTTCAGGCTATGTATAAATATATATTTGAAACATAAACAAATTTTGCATTCAGACCATTCAAACAGGTCCCATTCCAAAGATATTTCATTATTTATATACAAATATTTGAAAACCTGAAAAAAATCCAAAATCTGAAACATTTCTAGGCCCAAGCATTTTGGATAAAGGATACTCAATCTTTCTCTCTCTCACTGGAGGATGTAGGGATGTTTGGGGACACACTTCTAACCTTTTGAAATTAACATGGGGCATAGCCATGTTCTCTCACAGCACAATATGGTTCTTGGTGTGCTGGTGAGGATGGATGTACGGGTAGTGGGGCAGTGTGAATGTGGTACCCATGGGCATGCTGATACCCGTATTATCCTTTCAGTAAAGGAGACCCAAGTGATTATGGGTCACTCACAGTTGGGCTAGCTGGTGATCTAAGTTTAGGCAGTCTAGCTCTACTACTAAAAGTCTTTCATTTGCTTGTAAGTACCAAGCTCATTGTCACCTGGGGGCCTTCCCAGTGTTTGTTCCTTTAGTTTTCTGTTCTCACTTCTCCCTCCCTAGAGCCAACTGCTGCTACCTTCATTTTACTTGATCTGCTCTCAGGAAGCCCCTGAGAAGCCCCTTCTGGCTTGGCAGCCCCTCTTGGCGGGTCTGGAACTATCCTGTATTTCCTCAGTGTAGCACCTGTGGCCTGTTGCCTGTTGGCTGGCTTCATCCGTGCCAGACCATGGGCTCTGTTAGGACTTGGCACTGAGTCCCAGGAGAAATCACAACACCTAGCACACATCAGCCACTGAATAGATAATTCTAGAATTTATGAATAAAATGGTTTCAAAAGACAAACTATAGCAGAATTACAAATAGCAAATTACAGTCTGAAAAGTACCAGAAATGGAATGGCTATTCACACCAAGTTAAGTCAGCTAAACTAGCGAACCTTTTTAACCTTCTGTGGATTCTTCAAGCGTCGACATTTTCTGATATCCATTTCGGTTGTGTTCACACAGCCTGGCTGAGAGAAAAAAAAATCGTATAAATTACTAAGTGTAAATTACTCTTCCAATTTAGCTCAAGTAACACCACCAGAACCAGTCTTTATATTTCTCACTACAGATAATGCATGATTTTTTCATTTTGTTATAATAGGGGTTCCTCCATGGAGTTCTCATAGGAAATATAAAAGCTGACCTTACTGTAAGGATGATGTGTAGAAGTATAGTGTACAGTTTCTAAGAGCAAACTTACTATTCACATGGCAAGATTGCTTCAGCCACAGCCTTTGTTGTTTCTTCTATCTAATCATCTGAAAAGACTCCGATATTAGGATGTGGAGCTATTTTTTGTTTTGTTTTTTTCTTTTAGTTTTTAGGAAAGTTGAAATATTTTGCTCATTTTTAGTTCCATTTGATAAGGGAAATACAAAATTCCTTCTAATAATACGAAATTAAAAATAGAGTCAAACATCATTACTTACTGATTTCTTACTGGTGAATACACCTACTTGCTAAAGTTTACTTGTAACTTGCAATTCAATGGCCATTTGCAGATGTGCATAGATGGCCAACAATTTTGGGTTTCCTGGGTGCACGTGCCCAGCTGAAACTGAACACGGTGACACTCTACCTTCTTGTTCCAGGCCTCATACTCTGAGTCAGTTTATGTAGGGCTTGGGCAGTACCAAGATTTCTACATTTTTGTCCTGTGTGTTGGTAATGTGCTGCTTAAAAAGGCTTGAGTTATAGTGTTGTTGGCTGTGTGTTCAATGTCAGTGATCAAAAGTATATGTTAAATAAGGTGTCTTTGTACAAAAACACACATTGAACAAAGTTCCATATTGATCAATTGATAAAGATGTGGCCACAGGCTCACAGGAACCCAGTCCTGCGTTTCTTATGGGAGCAATGCTCCCGCGTTCACCAAGTCAGTGGTCCCAAAGACTACAGAACACAATGACTGAGAATAAGGAGAACTAACTGTATTCAAAAGAGAATATTTTAAGATTTAGAGTTGAATGAGAGTGGAAATAGAGTGTTAATTTGGAGGAATGTGAAGTTTTAACACCTAAAGTTCCTCTGGTGGAATTCCCATTGCTCTGCCATTCCATTTCTGTAATGGATGAATAAAACACACTCCAGAAAATCTACTGAGATTCTATGAATAAGTGGCAAAACCAGTTTTGCAAAGTCTCACAGTTTTCTTAATAAGACACCTGGTCACTAAAGACAGTCTTTTCTTTGAAGAGAAGAATGCAGGAAATTAATATAACAAAAAACACCCCAGAGAACCAAGTAGAGCTTCCTCACCACTGGCCTGTGGACATCCCAAAAGGCCCGTTCTTGACTATCCAAAATTTTCCTTTCTGTCTTGTCCTTTTTTCGATCAATTCTGAAAAAGCAAAGAGATAAAATAAGAGGTTTTGCATTGGTTTTCCCTCTGGCCCTCCCAGCTTTCCACTCCCATTTCTAGGCACCCTGCTGCACACACAACTTTTGGCACCTGTGTGGTCCCTGCTTTCTTCTGGTGCCCACTTGCCTCGAGGCAGCCTCAGACTTGGCACACTTGGGAAGAACTTGCTGTGGGCCAGAGTACAGATTGCCATGTACATGCACTGGACACAGTGGGCCAAAGGAAAGAAGAAGAATGAAACTGTCCCGGGACGGGATGAAGATCAGGACTCTTGAGAACTGAGTTGCCCGCGGACATGCCCCTCCCTTCAGAGTGAATACTGATATACAAACTGAGGAGAAGGAACATCGCGACCGGCTTGGCAGTCTCCCATCTCAAATTTGAAAGCCTGCTTTACATTTAGAGTCAGTTCAGTAGAAATGTCTTTAAAATGCAGTTATGTGTTTTAAAAGTTACTTAAGCCATCTGGCTTACTAAAGGCAGAGTAATGGCCCTAGCATGTGTCAGGATCCAGAAGGCAAACATCACCGGCCTCAGCTGGAGGAGGCACAAATGCAAGAAAGAAATTACAGGTGACAAAGACAGATTCTTTATGTTCTAATCAGCAGCCCAGATAAGAGGTTCTTTTTTAAAGGCTGTATTACTTCATATTATCTAAGTAAAAAGCAGCTGAGATTAATTGCTGTATAACTTCTGGTTCTCAGCTCTCTTGGGAACACTTCAGTTTACTGGACTGAAATAAACCCATAATCACACTGTGATTTTTGTGATAATTAATGTGTACTTAAATGGCCCACAATTATAATGAAATCACAGAGTTAATCATAAAAGCTAATGGAGAAATACCATATATGTACAAGATGACAATTTCCCTTCTCTTTATAATATAATGCTATTTGATTCTTTAAGAAGAAATTTGTGCTTCTCTTTGCTTCCCAGTGGATTCTAAATACACAGGTAGCTTTCTCCCTCAGTCTATCCAAAATCCAGCCTCTTTCTATCTGCTCTCCCCCCTCCCAACATCTACTTCCTCTGATGCCTCCTCCTGCAGTTCAGCAACCAGGACCTGGTGCCTACACCCTTAGGGGAGTTCTGGAGGGAACAGGGCATTCAGCAGGTGGCTGGTATTGGTAGAGAAAAGGCAGAGGCTGTACAGGGAGGGTGGCAGTAATGACTGCAGGCACACCATTGGACCAGATGACCTCAGATCATTTCTGAGGGGGATCATAGGTATAATTCATCCTCATGCCTACAGACTGAGACTTGGCTCTAGGTGATAAGCAATGACACCCACAGAGTATGAAAAGGGTCATCTGAAGCCCCACTGGGGGCTGCTCACATGCAAGGTGCCCAGAGAATAGGTACTTGTATTCTCCCAGATCAGCATCCCTTTCCCACCCCTCCTCTGTCCTACTTTTCCTACTAACATTGCCGGGTAAACAGATACAATCACTGAAATGAACAAGGGTGACAGCGACCAGAGCAATTCCATGTCCCAGAATTAAGTGGATCTGGTTGACAACCATGTTTTTGGACTGGGGGACATTTGTTCTCTACTCCTCATGTTTCCTTAGCGAGGAAGAAATTTCCATTATATATTCCTGAAGAAAAAGTACAGAAAAATATCCTCTCAATTTTTTCTCTCCTTTTATCACTTGTACTCTGGGGAGGAAAAATGACTTAACTTATTGGTATATTTGAAAGAAGAAATAGAGAAAGCTCAGGCTAGTCCTTCAGTGTCCCTGTCTATGTCAGCCTGTCCTCAGGATATCCATTCTCCGCATTCAGTACACTTACAGAGGTCGGCTCTGCCCTGGGGGAGAAGGCCTCCAGAGACCCATCTCTGCCCAGGAAAGACAAGTTTAACTTGGATTTTGGCCACAGATCCAAGCCATACCCTGTAACCTAGGTTTCAGTGAATGGACTTCAAATGTCTGGCTTCTGCGCCTTACTTTTCAATTGGTTCCAAACTCCTCCCTAATTGGGAAGAAGAGGCCAAGGGCCTTGTCCTCTCTAAAACTCCCACATATTTTTCTATGAAGATGAAATCTCCAGCCCTAAAGGCAACCTGGGTCTGATGTTTTCCAATTACTTAGCACAGAAGAATAATTGGAAATCTCTTCAACAGATAGGTACACCTTCCTACAAGCAGAGTTCTACACGTGGGAGGATCTCTCTTGACTGCTGAAATACATGATTTTCATTATTTTAGAGTGACATTAGTGCCAAAGATGAAACTTACACATACTACATACTACACATAGCACATACTACACATACTTTCTACCCATTTTGTTAGAGATACTAGTGCCAGCTAGAATCCTCACTTTGGCAATCCCACCCTCACTCCATTTCCAAATTCCAGAGCTGTTTCCTCTCTGCAAGGGTCTCTGTTAAGTCCACCTACTTGACTTGTGCTTCTGCTTGCATAAAGATGAATTCCCACTTTCTTGCAAAGGCCCTCTGGAGTCTTGCTAAGTTTTCCTAGTGAGAAATGAAAACCAACAAGAAGGCATTAATCATTGTAAATTAATACTTCGACACCTATGCTTATTACAAGGCAGCCATCCATTTTGCTTAGTCCAAACAAACTAGCAAGGCCTCATATTAAATCCATCGGACATGAAGCCAATTTGAATTTGCACCAGACCCTGCTGTACAGAGCTGAACTATTAATACTCATTTACACATCCATTAAGTTGGAGCCTCTGTGGTTCACTTCTTTCTGTGTTTTACAAAAACTCTACTCACACAGCACTTGTTATAAAGGCTACTGAGAGCAATAGTTTGTAGCTACTGGGGAACGAATGATGGGGTTTTTGCAACCTGTTGGCCATCTCAAAAGCAAAACTAAAGATGGATCTCTCCAGGATGTGTGTTCCAGCAGGCAGCTGGGAAGGTTGAAGGGAAGGAGAACCAGGAGGACTTGGCATCAGTGTGCTTTTTAAAGTAAGGACTCAAAAGTGGATCAAAGGGAGTGTCTGTATTATGATGGTCATGCAAAGAAACTCCAGCTGGACATGGTGGTGCACACCTGCAATCCCAGCACTTGGGAGGCTAAGGCAGGCGGATTGCTGTGACACTGAGGCCAGCCTGGGCTGTGTGGCAAGATCCTATCTCAAAACAAAACTAAACAACAAAAAAGAAAGAAAGAAACAAAGAAAGAAACAAAGAAAGAAACAAAGAAAGAAACAAAGAAAGAAAGAAGGAAGGAAGGAAGGAAAGAAAGGAAGAAAACGAAAGAAAGAAAGAAAGAAAGAGAGGGAGGGAGAGTGAGAAAGAGAGAGAGAAAGAAAGAGGTCATCAGAAAACAGAAAGAAAGAAAAGTAACTGAGGATTATTTTTAGAGAGAAAGGGGAGTATTTTCTCTAAGTTGGCAGACTTACCTAATGGAACATTAGGACAGTGAGGAGGGGAGTTTGACAGCCCCATAATGATCCTCCTAATTCTGATTAATTCAAGGCCAGAGCCTACATTATGCTATGCATTTTCACAGAGTGCACGCCAACACTAATTGATTACCCTCATTAGTGGATTATTAATATAAAATGAGCTTCAATTGAAGAGCATCACACATGAACTCACAGCTCTTACCAAAGCTTGGTGCGCAAGTACTTCTATGAAACTGTCCCTCTGTCTCTTCCACTGTTCCTAGGGAGCCAGGTTGCTAATGGCTAATGTCAATCAAATGGGGGAGTAGTCCTATGAACTATGCTAGTCACATCACAGAGTACTAGGCAGCCATTAAAAATGATAATGTATTGTTGAAATGAAAAGATTCCCCAGATACTACAGTATATGATTAAGGAAAGATATAGCAGACACAATAATGTTTCTGATATGATCTTATTCTTCTATAAAGAAAAAATGTATGTATGGAAAAAGCTTAAGGGGATAATCATAGATTATTTCCTCTTCTTTCTTGGTGGTTCGAATGTTTGTTCTCTATCAAGAGAATATGTAACCAGAAAAATTTAATAACATTACTTTTAATTTGAAAGCATTTTAGAAACAAAATGCTTTTTCAGTTTCTAATCATTTGTATGAGCAATTTTGACACCCCCAAAAACATGTTAATGCCATATTCTTTACAAATACCAGAACAGAAGATTATAGGGTAAGAGAAGAGAAAACAGAATGACAGAATAAAATGTTTCAGGAGTTGATGCTGTCTTATTTCTTTTTTTGGTACTGGGGATCGAACTCAGGACCTTATGCTTGCAAGGCAGGCATGGTGCCACTGAGCTAAATTCCTGGCTCCAGATGCTGTCTTATTTCTATGTATGACCTTTTCTAAAACATGGGAAATATGGGAAGAGAAACACAGGAAACACAAGGGCCATAGCAGTCTGGGTCTTTCCTGAAGTTTGTGTTAGGGAAGTGATGTAGTCATGTACAAGCTCTTTGCCCTGGGTAACACAAAGAGCTAAATAGCAGTCTTTGGAAAGAAGAGTGATATGGCTGCTGGAGCATCTGGGCAGAAGGGTAGGGCCAATCTCCCAGGGTGCAGAGTCATAAAACCATCAGGCCATGTTTGCTTGGGAAGATCATATAATGTTCTCTCATATGATCTGATGTGCAGACTTTAGCCAGGTCCTGAGGCTCTGGACAATCTCCTGCATTGCATCTTTCTCTACTCTTCCTCCCTATTCATAAGTCTGTGATACCAGCAGGATCAAAGTCAGTGGGGAGCCATGTCCAGGGGCTGCTCTCCATTGGCACACGCCTTTGCCTTTGGTAGTGGAGAGGGAATGATGATCTTGTTGGCTTGGTAGGTTTGAGCACAAGCACCCAAGAAAGGCAGGACCTGCAAGCTGGGGGTGGGGGTGGGGGTGGGGTTGTGTTTCTTTTGGAAGATTGTGGTGGTAAAAGTAGGAGGAGCATTTGGAAAGTGGGTGGGTTTGAAGATGCTATTAATGTTGGGCTTCCCAAGGGTGAGTTCTCTGTCATCCCTAATGTGAATTCTCTACTACCTCTTCCCCTAGCTGCTGGCTCTTCAATCATGTCATGGCTCAGGAACACCTCCACTGGATGGCATATGGGGAGAGGAAAGTAGAAGGCACATGAAAGTTCAGACAGTTTTCCTGATTCCCTGTGACTCACATAAAATTCATTTTGGAGGAATGTTTCTGTCAGCCAAAAGTTAAAAATACATTTTAAATTATCTGTGAATCTTCAACTTCTCTGTGTTTTTGTTTCAAATGAAAATGGATATGAGAGTGATAGTGAACCTCTCATTCCTGCAAGGAATCATCACATCTCAGAAAGGAAGATGGAAGAAGAAAGTTAGAACACAGGGAAAGGAAATAACCTCTTGTGACATACATCTTGTCTTATTTTCTCCATTGAATTTTGTCCACACATTCTACCTCTGCTACCAAGCATGGAGCAGTGGGTATAAGGGGTGATCAAAATATACCATGAATGTTTAAATTTTTAAAATTTATTACATTAAAAGACATCAAAAGACACATTGGGGCTGGGGATTTAGCTCAGTGGTTCTGCCGCCTGCTTCGAAAGCACAAGGTCCAGGGTTCGATCTCTGGTACCAAAAAAAAAAAAAAAAAAAGAAAAGACACATTGGCATTAATCTCCCTCAAATTCCCTCTCATTTATCTCATCATTTTTATCAATTTCTGAAGCAGTTCTGGAAATCTTCTTTTGTGAGTGTCTTTATGAGGTATGAAAATACAGTGAATGCTTGCTGAGATGCAGAAAGGCAGGCTCATGAAAACATTACAGTGTGTCCTCATCTATCTTATTCACCACATCTGGTGCCATGTGACTTCTGGATCTTCCACAAAGTCAGAATGATCACGAAAGGATAACATTGTGAATTTAGTAAGGACATTAAGGCAGCGCGACAGCACAGCTAAAGACACTCAGGAGAAAAGACACTTCAGAAAGTGGCAAAACAATGAGATAAGTATGTTTGAAGTGAAGGGCAGCATTTTGAGGGAGGCTAAGGTAATGTGTTTTTTATTGTAATAATTTTTAAAAAATTTAAACGTTTGCCATTTTTCCATCACACCTTGTATAAAGATGCAATTTTCATTTTAAAAATTATAAATTTCTCTTTTCCTTTTGGGACAGTTCTGTGAATTTTAACACATAGGTAGGTTTGTAAAGCACCACAACAGTCAGGATGCAGAACGGTACCATCACCTTCCCAAAATCCCTTGTGCTATCCCTTTATAATCACACACTATCCCACCAACAACCACAGCTATTGATTTGTCTTTCCTTGTGATAGTTTTGTCTTCATAAGAGTGCCATAAATGGAATGACTGGCTCAAGACTAGCTTCTTTCATTTAATATAATGTCTCAGATACTCATCCAAGTGATTGCATATATCAGTGGTTCTTTCCTTTTTGATCAGAATGGTATTCCATCATATGGATATACCTTACTTAGTTTAGCCATTCGCATGTTAAAGTGCATTTGGGTTGTTTTCAGTTTTTGGTTATGATGTATGAGGCTGCTATGGACATTAGCGTATAGGTTTTTGTGTGAATATAAGTTTTGATTTCTCTAGGATATGTATGTAGGAGTGGGATCATTTGGTTATATGGTAAGTGCACGTTTAACTTTATAAGAAACTGCCAACCATTTTACAGAGTGGCCACACCATTTTTCCCTCCCACCAGCAATGCAGGGGAGTTAAAGTTGTTCCACATGCTCACCAACTCTTGGTATTATCAGTACTTTTTATTCTAGCCATTCTAACAAAGTTGTGATAACTCACCATGGATTTAATCTGCATTTCCTAAATGACTAGTACCATTGAACATCTTTCCATGTGAGTATCTGTCATCTTTTTTGTCCTCTTTGGTTTAAATGTCTTAAGTCCTTTGCCTATTTTCTATTCTTTTTAAATTTTTCAGGACACATTTTCAGTAATATTGAGTTTTTTTATTGTTGAGCTTTGAGGGTTATTTATATAAAGATACAATTTTACTGTGATGGTAAAAGGAACTGAGATAGAAGAGACTCCCTTCCATTGTCTGAAGGGGACTGGAGGGGGAAAGAAGGAAAGGTACAAGCTTAAACTGAACTGCAGAGATGACATTACTGTTTTCCCACAACACGCCTGAAAAATAATCATACTTACTGCTTCATAATCTGCCAACTCCAGCCTTGCTTTATTCTGCATTGTCCTCTTACAGAGATAGATGGCTGAGGGAAAGAAGAGAAATTATGACATGTATAAAACCAGCAATTCAATGGAATCATAATCCCATCCATCCATGCATCCATCTGTCTACCCATTTATCCAGCCAACCCTTATCATGTGCCCAGCTCTGTCCTGTGAAGAATATATTTTCTAAGTGGAAGTCATGACATCCGACCTCTAGGAATCGTTCTGTAGGGTAGGATCAGATGAGGATCCCATCTGCAAATCTTGAAAGCCCTTTTTCCTTTTCACTCTGTTACTCCCCAAACATTCTCCACTTAGAGTGATCTTTCACAAATATGATCACGATACCCCTGTGCCTAAAATCCCTGCACTGTTTCCTCAGTGGCTTCAGAAGGAATATTGAGACACTCAGGGTGACAATATGGCTCATTATGATCTAGTCTGATTGTCTTGTCAACCTCTTCTCCCCCGACCCCGTCAGATGTTGAGGCCACCAAACTTTCAGTTTCGCTCCTCTGCATATGTGTCCTTTACAAGGAAAATCTCTATCCCTTTTCTATCTGGTGACCTCCTACTAATCTCTGAAAGCCCAGCTCAATGTTCTAGATAACATCCACCTTTCCTCAATCATACAACTTAATGCCATTGCCCTGAATTTGTGTGCTTAGTAGACCATTCCCTGCTCTAAGTTGAAGGCTCTTTAGGGTCAGAGGCTATGTCAACTTTAACCTTGGCCTTAGCACCTGGGCCTGTCATGCCAGATGGAAGGAAACAACAGTGGAGAGAGAAGGCAATTTAGGGTACTCAACTCAGGCTGAGGCAGGCTTCTATACCCTCAGTTGCCAGGGTGTTCTTCCTTGAACATGGCCTTTGTCACTTTCTCTCTCTATCTCTGCTTCTTCTGAGTCTTCCTCCCTCACTAGTGCCAAGTGGAATCATCCCAGGGAAAACAGTGAATGAATGGTATGAAGGAGAAATAGAACATGTAAGAGAGAAGGCCACAGAGAACCTGTGATTGTCTAGCTGTTTGACAGCTTCACCACCCTAAGAGAGCTTTAGTCAATTCCTTGCTGATTAACTAGCTTCCTTAATTTGCTCTGAATAATGTATGGATGGCAGTGTATGATCCTGTAGAAACTTGCAGATAGCAGCCTACTCCCTGCTATACCCAGACTTCTGCTTTCTGTAGTCTGACTGCGTGCCGACAAGGGTCTGTGGTGGTTGTTCCTAAATCTGCTTATGTTAGGCACACTTGCTATTCTAATAATGCAAATTCACTAATTTTTACATACACACATGGTCTTAGACCTTCAGTTGGACCTAATAATGTGAAAGCCATATGCATCCAGTAAAAAACTATACTTCGAATTCCGAATTTTGATCTGTCTTTTCTGGCTAGGAATATGGAGCATGACTCTCTTGAAGCTAGTCAGCCACAGTGAGTCATAGTTCCCAATTAGCCACATGATCATGACAGGCAACAACCTATACTCTTCAGTGTGCTGTGTTGCTAAGTTAGGATGTTTGGTAGGTTAGATGTATTTAATGCATTTTTGACTTACAGTATTTTCAACTGAAGTTGGGCTTATCTGGACGTAACCCCACCATAAGTTGAGGATCATCTTACCAATGAAATTAATGTGATAAGAGAGTTGTTTCTATGAGGACTCAATTGAATAGTTTGGAACAACCTAACTGATAAGTGCTAAGGTGCTGTTGATGAATCTGGTGTAGGTGAGATAGCTCACAAAACTCACAAAAATCTAGGAGAAACCAACATTCAAGTGGTATTGAAAGTGTCTTTAAATTATTGAGGTACTTGAATAATACCCAAACTGGATACTTTATTATGAATGTGGTTTGTTTAAGAAAGAAACTCAAAAATTCTTGGGATCTATGGTCAAACAGAAGTCCTCGGTCCTACCTCAAATACTGTCATATGAATGTTCCATTGCATATTTTACACTCATGATAAGGGATAAGGGATACACATTTCATTTTTATGATTTTTCTATTTACCAACTTTTCCAATGATCCTAGTAGCTGTAGCTGCATCCTATCTGATAAAGGGGTATCTGATATATTAAAAGGTATCTCCTTGAGCCCCTTGGATGACAGACAACTTGTGAAATTGGAGGCAAGTTCAAGCAGGAAAATTGGCCTGTCACCCACCTCACCAGCGCTAGTCTCATTTCCTGTGAGCAGTGCAGGTCACAGGAAGCAGCAGCTGCTTTGACAAAGCTGACAGGGTTGGACAGTGTTTTCTACTGGCCAAATCTAAAACTCATTAAAGGCTCACCTAGATTTGGACTATGGGTTTAATACAGACAGAATCATCCCAGGAAATTTCCAATGCATCTGAGTGAAAATGGGCCAGCCAGGTTGTGAAGGAAAGAACTGCACAAGGAACGTAAAGCTGGTGCCAGTCCTGATGATCATGAGGTCTTGACCACATGCTTCCAGACTGTTTCTCTGTGGTGATGTCACATGTGGGGAGTATGTTCACCAAACTATGGAGCTAGGGTAGCATGTCCTCAGTACAGATCTCCCCAGGTAACAAAATATTAACCACTATCAATACAGTGGAGAAAATATCAACTCCTGGTGACAGTAATACCAATCAGCATAACTACAGTAGTGACATCAACCACCATCATAGTACTAATACAACCACTACTCTAATAACAATAATGCCAACCACCACTACACTAATAACATCAACCACCACTGCTGTGCAATAGCAACCACCATCTTCGTAATGACAATATCATCCACTAATAGTGACAACATCAACTACACCATAGTACTAATTAGCAATCACTGTCCTGATAGCAATATCAACCACTGCCACCACAGTTTTAATAGCAACCACCACCCTAGTAACAAAAATACCAACCATCACCATCATAGTAGTGACAACATCAACCACTCTCATGGAATTGACCCCTTACTATGTGCCACACACCAAACTTTATGTGCATTTCATTTAATCTTAACAAAACAGCACCAAGAGACAAGTAATGTTCTCACTGGGCTTTTAGTGTGAGGTTTCTGAGGCACAGAGAGGTAAGGTAATGTTATGGACTGGATCTTAAGTGTCCCCGAAAAGCTCATGTGTTGAAGATTTGCTACCTACTTCAGTAGTGTTCAGGGTTGAAGCCTCTGGGAGGTGACTGGATCGTGAGGGCTGTGACCTCATGAATGGATTAATCCATTTATGAATTCATAGCTTAATGAGGTATTGGAAGGTAGTGGAAAATTTAGGTGGGGCCTAGTTAGAGGAAGTAGATCATTGGAGGTGTGCCCTTGAAGGGTGTAATCTTGTTCCTAGCCCTTTCCTCCCTCTCTTTCTGCTTCCTGGTTGCCATAAGGTAAGCAACTTTGCTCTATCACATGGTCCCTGTCATGATGTTTTGCCTCACCACAGGCCCAGAAATAATGAAGCAAGATGACCATGGACTGAACCTCTGAAACTGTGAGGTGAAATAAAACTTTCTTCTTTTAAGTTGACTTTCTCAGGTATTTTTGTCACAGCAACAGAAAGCTAACACAGGTAACTTGCTGAGATCACATAGCTTATGTGGTTGGTTGCTCTCGCAATCTGCCATGCTGAGTTCTCTCTTGGTAAATAATTACTGACTTGCTCACTGAACTGCTTTGGAAATACTGGCAAGCACTTTGCATCACGCACCTTGACTTTTCCATCTGATTTGCCAAGAATTCAAAATAATTTTGCTTTCATGACAGCCTAGAATCAGCAATCATTTCTATCCTTGTTCATCTACCCACCAAAAATTATGAAATGGAGAAAATCTGCAGAGAAAGGGAAATAATTCCTTTTTGTATACTGTGTAAGATGGAGTACATATATTTTAATCTTGGGCCCAGGTATCTGCTCTCAACCCTCCCTCTCTTCTCTCCATGGCCTGGAAAAATATTGGATTTCATATTCCCAAGGGTACTTGCTGCTGCATGGAAGCAAGCTGTAATTATTCAATTGCCAGTTGAGACACTGAGAGCCGTATTCCAGCTCCTGAATTGCTTGTTTTATGAGTGGTCAATGCAGCTCCTGCTCTGAGCCAGATTCTTGCTGGACCTGCTCACATCATTTGCGGTGTGGCGGTTTCAGAGAGCCCAAAGTGGTGGCTGTGGATGGCTGAACAGACTGCCCAGAGGCCCTGCCTCATGTGTGAGTGCCAGCCTCCAGGCCCAGAGTTTCACAGCGCAGCAATCTGCTTGCCTTTCACCTCAGGACTTCTCCCAGTGGCTGCTCTCCTCAACCAATGCCTGCTTCAGAGCTGGTGGCTTTTCCCACAGGTCTCCAGGATGGCCTCCCCTAAGCACCACCCAGCTGCAAATCTCATTGTTCCCACTCATGGTGACTGCACCAGCCTCCTGGTTGCAAACAAGCCTTCCAAAAAACCTAGAGAGAATCCTCAGGCTCCCCAAATGTCCACAGCAGCCACCAGGATGCCATGTAAAGGGGCAGGTACGACCGCTTCGGCCTTTAGGCACATCATGCACAGAACAATGGGAGGGCATGGGTGTTGGAGCCACTCAGATCTGAGTTCAAACTCTACTGCTTCCAGGGAGTGTCCGTTGATCACCTTCAATCAAGAACCAGAACCATCAGGAAATATTTATCCAGCACCAACTATGTCTTAGGCATGTGCCATGTCCTGAAGGATATGAGAATGCACAAGATGGGCCAGTTCCTGCCCTCATGGGGTTTACAGTCAACTGGGACTTCAGACAAATGTGATTGTGCTGGGATGTGGCATTTCTGGGCTCAGGTTCTTTATTTTAAGCATAGGGATAGTAGAATTTCTTCTCAGAAATATCGAATAGTCTGTACTGAGAGTACAAAGGGCCAGTAGGTCCCTATCTGGGTAGATATAACTCTCTGCTAATCCAGCTCCCATCTTCTTCCATTTTTAATTTTTCTGGTCCAATGGGGCACCTGTACATCCCTCTCTGGTCTGTCTCTCTTTTCTAATAAGTTCCAACCATCAAAATCACCAACGAGTTCTTAGTGAGTTTTAATCCATCTGTGAGACCAGAAGGGCAAGGGGAAGGTGGCTCCTTGATCCAGCCTTTTTCTGAAACCCTGCCCCAGGAAGGAGCTATCAAAAGTCACTATTCCTTAGTGTTGCAATAGGATCCTCGTTATCCATGGCCCCGCAGAATGAACATATGGATCATCCTTGATAAAAACCTTTCTTCCCTTTTCCCTTTTTCTTTCAGTAACTGCATCTCTCCGTATGCTCTGCCTTCTTCCTTATGTGGAATAGAGAGTTTTTTAGATATCAACAGTGTCAGATAGGGCAGGTAAAGACCCCTGCTCCCCATGCACCCTGGTGACCAGACACCAAGCATTTGTCCTCTGCACGCCGGGGAGTGGTGTAAGCTCTCACCGTAGTCAGTGTTTTCAGGTTCCCAACAGTTTGAAGGCCAGAAGTAAGGAGCCTGCAAAAGAGTGTGTGGTTATCAGGGTGCAGACATGCCCATCCCCATCTCCCCAAACCAGTGAGGTCCCTCCTTTATGACAGGCCCTCTCCCATCTCTTTTTGCCTGACATCATAACAACTTTCTCCTGGTTATGTTTTGTGTGTGGTATTGGAGATGGAACCCAGGGCCTTGCCAGTGTTAGTGAAGTGCTCTACCTTTGAGCTACACCTCCAGCACTTCTGTATTTCAAGACAGGGTCTTGCTAAGTTGCCCAGGCTGGGCTCAAATTTGCCACCCTCCTGCCTCAGCCTCCTAGCTGGGATCACAAGTATGTGCCACCACATTCAACCTTTCTTGTTTTGTTTTGTTTTGTTTTGTTTTGAATAACCTAGCTGAGGCCAGCCACCACTTTAATCTGTGTTGAGAAGTGATATCCAAAGTACGCAAAATATATGTAAAATAAAAAACATTGAAAAACTGAGTGTGTAACTCAGTGTAAAGGCCCTGGGTTTAATCTCCAATACAGAGAAATGGTGGTGGTGGGGGGGGGAGACAGAGAGAGAGAGACAGAGAGAGAGATTGATTTAGTTTATGGGGCAAAATTTCTTATCCTGAAACAAGAGAAGTCTAACTCTCTCCTAAAGCCTTTGGTTAGACTTTGGCACACCTTACCCTCTTCTCCAAGCCCTCCAGGGCAGGACCTGGGAGGAGTGGAAACTAGGTGGGGAGGGTGATCAGGTAGTATATGGAATCTTTATCTCAGAAAGGCAGTGAGAGGTAGAAAAGGTGAAGGATGGTGCTCTCAGGCTCTGTAGCCTCAGATTGAGGCTTCCTCCTCCATTTACTAAATGCCACATCAGTCTGAATACCTCAGCTTTCCCATCTGTAAAATGGGTGACACTTAACCTCTTTAGAGGTAAGAACAAACTTTTATAAATTTCTTCACAACAAATAAGGAAATATGCACAAAGTGTCTGCTATGGCCTGAATGTTTGTCTCCCAAACATTTCACCAAATGCACATGGTGAAATCCTGACACCATCTCCAAGGAAATGGCTTTAGGAGATGTGGACTTTGGGAAGTGATTAGCTCATGAGGGTGGAGTCCTCGTGAATGAGATTACTGCCATTATAGAAGAGGCCTGAAAGAGACTCTGTCCCTTCTCTGGAATAGGAGCATGGCTAAAAGGATCATCTAGGAGACACAGAAGATAGAAGACACTAAACCTGCTGATGTCTTGATCTTGGACTCTCCAGCCTCCAGAACTGTGAGAAACAAATTCTGGTGTTTATAAGCTGCCTAGTTTATGGCATTCTGTTACAGCAGCCCAAAAGGATGCTCCTCAAATTACAGTCTCTCACCTAGGGCCTTTTACTATTGTTTAAGTGGGTCAAGGAACATCACAGACACGAGTTCTGTTGGCTTCCCCAGTTCTGGTGAAGGCAGAAGGGTGGTTTCTACAGTACCCTTTGTTTTCCTAGGTAGTTGTAATCTGAGACCAGATGATGATCACAAGCAAAGGTTCTTTAGGAGGTGGAGCCAGCAGGCCTACCTGGAAACGATAGAAGGTACCATCATCCTTCATGGTAAGCACATGGTCTGAGATTGGAAAGATGTAGCCCTGGGCAGCTATAAGGCTTCCCAAGTGTATTGCTTCAACTGTAGGGTGAGAGGAAGAATCAGAAAGCAGGTTATTTAGTTTAAATAAGAGCAAAATGGTAGCCAGGTGTCAAGTGTTATCATTCCTAAATGACAGTGTTGGTGGCATGATTGCTGGTGGAGGTGGTGGGGGGAGAGACACCTACAGTTGGGAAGGGCCATCGTGCATCTGTGGCTCCTCTGGGTCCCAGAGAATCTGCCAATTCTTAACCTCCCAAGCCCCATGTCCTTCCCAAAGAAAGTCAGCTCTAGCTTCATGGTCAAGAGCAGGAGCTTTGGCATAGATACACTTGTATTTAATTAAGTGAGATATTTCACATGAGATGCTTAGCAGTGTCTGGGGCAGGGCAAAGACTCAATAAGCGCTGGCAGCCCTGATTCATCATTTCAGTTTTATCATTCTGTATTTTCAATAGCAGGGAGAATGAGCCCTCCTCACTGCCAGTGCAGACTTGGACCCAACTTCCCCAAGACAATGGTCTCTTTGGTGAGCAGAAGGGTGTCTCTCTTCCCTTATACACATAGGGTAAAATCTCACTTTTTCAGGAAGTTAGAGGAAGGACGGTGGAGTGGGTAGTGACCTAGGGGGGTCAATGTAATAGGAATATGCTTATTAATGGGACAATGAAACTGTTGCCTTATTACCTTAGCATCAGCCATAAATAGATTCACAGTAATAATTAAGAATTTATATTTATCTTGAGTGGAGCTAATACAAGAAAAAGTGCTCCTACCACATATAAGAATCTTTCAGAAATTCATAGTACTTTTACTAGTTAAAATAATTTTTTAGACATGGAATTGATGTGCTCAAGGAGTCTATAACAATTACTAAATTTATTGGCTCAGAATTTTTAAAGATTATTTGCTTTGGCTTTACTTGTAAACTTTTCAAGAGGTTGAATATAACCCAAATGTTTGTCTTGTTAAGAATCATTTATTCCCTTTTGGAAGAAATGTATGTGTATACTTATATTGATGGAATTAAGCTGAATGGACTTTTACTTTACTTGCTTGACCAGTTCTTTTAAAATTGATGAACAATTTCTTTTAATGACCAATTTCTTTTGAAATTCTTCACAGTTGTTCCCTTCTACCAATATTTCCAGAACCCCCATGGACTCCAAAATCTGTGGATGCTCAAGTCCCTTTTATAAAATGGTATAGTATTTGTATATAATCCATGCAATCCTCTCATATACTTTAAATCATCTGTAGATAACTTATAATATAATGTGACCTAATATAATGTGAATCCTATGTAAATAGTTGTTATAGGGTGTTGTTTAGGCAATGACTAGAAAAAAGTCTACATGTTCAGTACAGATACAGTTTTTTCCTGAATATTTTCAATCCAGGTTTGGAAGAATCTGCAGATGCAGACCAGTGATATGGAGGGCTGATTGTACACTTCAAAAATTATGTGCCCAGAAAGAGAAGATTGTCATCATCTGCACCTGCTCCTTTCTCAAAGGAAGGACAAGATCTAGTAAGATGATGACTTTCATATCACCAACATTGGGGCTAAAAATCTTCAGCAAGAATGTTTTTGTTTGGAAATTTGGCAGGAAGAAAGAGAGAATAGAGGGAGGGGCAGATGTCAACTATACCTGGCTTCCCAGGGACTTGATTTGCCTCATCTCTGCTGGGGAATTGCTCTTTCTTCCTCCTACTCATCTACTTCTCAGAAGTCCAAGCTGGGCCCAACATCTGATGTCCTTCTCAGGTCATCAGAATTTAATAGACCTTCGCAGACATGACCTTCATTCAAGGCCCTTCACTGAAGTTTCTTTTCTTTTTTTAATTTTTAATTTTTTTAGTACATGAGGATTCCATAGACCAGAGAATTCTCACCTACTATTAGCCAGGGTAGGGTCCTCCGACCGATGATGATGATGATGATGATGATGATGATGATGATGATGATGATGATGATAAATACAATGATTTTTGGAAAGGGGAATAAACCAGTTCTCTCAGAAAAGACCAACATGAAGAATGCTATTCCTTAGTTTATTATCATAATCAAAAGAAACATTGAGTTCACATAAATGCAATTAAACTGATAGATAGTTATCTAGTCTGGGTTTCAGGAGTGGACAATCAAAAGTCCAGCTGTATAAGGAAAACACTTTGGGAAAAGATGAGCATTTACAGTATTTTTTCCCTTGTGAACTAAGAACTTGACTAAAATGAAGATTTATTATTGGTAGTTGCCTGAGTAACCACTAACTAAGGTGGTGAAAAGATTGGGGTTACTTCCACAATGACCCACTTTTCTGGCACTCGGACTCTAGGCAACTATATTTAATTGAACAATATGTAAATTATACTGTTTCATAGTCAACACCAGCTAAGAATGTCAGGTTAAAATACAAGGATGGCTGAAGTGACAACTGATCCCAGCAAGGAATCACAGCTGGAATTCAGACATCTAGGGTGGGCACTTGAAAAATATACTCAGAAAGGATGGTGGTTGGAGCCATTAAACTTGGGGCAAATGAATCTAATAGCTCCTAGGGACCAGCAAGGACGTCAGAGTGGATCCACATTAGATTATAAAGATAAATTTGACTTGCAGGTATCAAGAATATCCAGTTAAGCAAGACAAAGTAATGTATGATAAATTTAGAAATGTATTAATTAATGACATATGAAATATTTAGCTTTATGTATCTAGAATTTTCAATTTTCTGGAGACTTCTCCCTATTTCCTAATTATACTGTAAAATAAGTTTTCTTGTTTATTTTCTGGTGGGAGGATTTTGAAACTGCTTTATTAGCCAGGGTTTTGCAGTTGTTTTTCTGGTAGGGTTTTCCTAATTGAAACGCACAATTAGAGTTGAAAAAACCATCATTCCTTCACTTCTCGCAGAAGCAGAAAACAGAAGGAGTCTTAGCAAATAATTAAACATCTTAATTGTGGATCAGACAATCTAATTTTAAGAGCTGGCTCTAGAAAGCTGTTCAGTGACAGTACTACAACTTATCTTTAATTGCTGTAGCTAAGGAGAATTCATCTCATTTCACACACTATTGTATTGAGCTCTTTGGCATTCTAAATAGTTGCTCTTTTCCTCCAAGGGTGATTTAAATTTGAAGATAGATATTCAGTGAAGAAAGTAAATTAATTTTATTTGTAAATAGAGTGATTTCACAACTTGGAATTCACATTAATAAGCTGGGTTCTCAGGATGCCAGGAGAACCCAGTTTGGAAGTTGGTTACAGGATGTGTACTGATACCAGTGGTCAAGTACCTGGGTCCTCAATCGAAAGGTTCTTCATAAGCCACTGCACAATGTCAGTACCTGCAATGACAAAGCAGTTTCAAGTGACAACTTCATGGGTGTTTAATCCCTGTGGGCAGAAGAAACATTTTTACCTAAGAGAATCTTAATTTCAGTCAGCATACCACCTCTCTTCTATTTCTTCCTTTTGGCCTTAGTGTTGCCCTCACATAACAGAATAGCAAATCCAAACCCAGACATAATCACTCTGTGAGGCCAATTCTTCCATGAGTCATCAGTGTCCTTTCTCCTGATGAGATGTGCCTGGATATCCTCTGGTGTCTCCTCACATGATATGGCCTGAAGCTCATCACCATTTCGATCACTGTCCTCTGTACATGCTCCCTTGTGTTTATTTCCCTTTGAAAACATGGTACCAGAACCCATGCTCTAATAGCAGCACAGTTTACATGGGAGTGGAAGAGTACAATTTTCTGGAAGGTTCTGAACATCTAGTCAGTCTACTTTCATCACCCAAATATTTCATTTTATACCAGTGCAAACCACTGAAGGTGGCTTTGTCACCTAGGGCAGAATATTTGGTGGAGAACAGCCTGAAAGGAATGACATTTTCAGATATCTGAGCCCTACTGTGAGTCTGAGGTTTCAGTGTGAGGGGAAGGGTCTGCTAGTCACTCTCGTGGGCTGCATTTCCAGGAGGCCAGTGGAGATCCAGCAGAGGCATTTAAAGAACAGTGCTGTCTTCTCAGAAATCAAATTTCTCAGAACTTTGTTGGCCAGAAGTAGGACCAGTGCAGGCCGAATAACCTAGACATTTTGTTTCTATCTGTGGGCTGTAACCCTACACAGCATGGCTGCTCTGGTCCCAGCCCACTCTTTCTGGGCTCCTAGTATCTCCAGCTTCACAGACAGGGCCGTAGTGTCCTCTGCATTCAACTGCAAAAGCAGGACCGTTAGCATCTCCCCACTCCCATTCCTGGTTGGCATCTGTGAGCTAACCTTGGATCAAAAACACTCCCATTCATTCACATTCTGAGAGAGAGAGAGAGAGAGAAAGAGAGAGAGAGAGTTCATTTCCTCCAATTACACAAGTTCAACATTTGTCCTAGGAAATGAAGAACAAAACAGAAATCGAAAAAGAACTGTAACCCCAAGTTGGGGGTGGGGGAGAGACTTTAACTTGTTTTTCCCTCAAAAGAAAAATAGTTCTTTTTTGTGGGTTGCCTAGAGACTGTGAGGTTTCCAGCATCTCTCCAATTCTCCCCAGGGCCAGCGGATTATCTTTCTGCTGAGCTTGCCCAACCATTATTTATCACCTGCCAAGATTGATTACTCACCCTGGGACAATGACAGCCCTTCCTTTCCCCTGTTAATTACTGTCATCATTAATATCCATGTCACTAATTAGTATTCATTCACATTGAAACTCCTTCCTTGCTATCATATCCACTAACCCTCCAACCCAACCCTAGTCTCTGGCACCATTGTCTGTGTTTTTACCCGCTTTTTGTTTTAAACACTCAGTCACTGGCCTAATTCCCTTCAGTCCCCAGGACTGAGTCTGCATTCATGCAGCTAAAGATCACATTTAAGTATTTTTTTTGGAAAAAAAAAAGACACAAAAGCCTCTTTCCTTTTCCCCCTAGCATCATGAGGACACCAGAGCTGTTTTTTTCTTCCTGATACAGCCACCATGACAGTCACTGTCTCAGGAGGGGACTTGTGTGACCGTCCTCAGGCCCAGGTGAGACTGAACTAATGCCCATGGCTGTCCTGGGTCATCTCTCACAATCTACAGTGGTTCCACCCCACTGCCATCCCTTACAAGCTGTGGGTACCATTTGGTGGACTTCAGCAAACCCAACAGACAATGTGTAGGGACAGGAGGACATTCTCACAGAGGTGGGGTATTTCAGGCTTCCATGGACTAACCAAGAAGTGGCAAACCTCCAGGCCTGTTCAGGCAGCAAATCATTGTGTGCTTAGCTCCAGGAAGAGGGAAGGAAGGTAAATCTGTCATAATGTTATGTCCTTTAAATGACCTACAATTACTACCCTTTAGAATCAGATAAGAATGGTCCAAATCACCAGCAAGAGAAAGCATTTTTCATTTCTTTTTCCTTTTTTTCCACTCCTTCCCATTCCCCACCAGGTCCAATTATTCTTTCCTCCTTGTTCTAGAAAGAATTTGAAGCATTTTCTTTTCTTTCTAAAACTGATTGTTGCCCTTTGTTAGTATTGTTGAATTCTGGATCACATCTAAGTTGATCTGCTTTGCTGAGGACTTAAAGACAGTGTGTAACGCCATAACAAAGGCAGGAGGGCCATACTTTATTCCTAAAGGTCCCAAGACTCTTGTCTGAAAACTGTCTTTCGAAGCTAGTTTATTAACATATATTGCAGGGATGTGCATGAAATACATCAGAGAGTGCTCTGACCACCCCTGTACTAAACACATGTTTTACTAGTATAGTTAAATATATATATATAGTATATATTTATTTATTATATGAAATTGTGCCTAAATTTCTATATGTGTTATAGGTATGTATTTCAATCATACCTTTTATATATAATCATGTTTGTTGAACAGCTATTTGGGAACAGCCCAAAAGTCTTCTAATGAGGAACTGAATTGTAAATTATGGCTCATTCATACAATAAATATTTATTGAGCATCTATAATATTAAATGGAAAAGCATATTAAGAACAGTATATATTTAAAAATGACATTTTCACAATAGCAAATTTATATTTGTATTCTATTATGTATGCATAAATATATACAGAAATGATGAAAAATTCTGGAAGTATATTTAAATTGTTAACTTTAGGTTGTCTTGGGCAGAGGAGAGGCATCAAATTAAGTGAAACTTGTATTCTCTACATTTTGGTGGTATTCAAAGTTCATAGACCATCATATAACATATTGCACTGGGAAAACCAGTTTCTATTTTAAAGAGCAGAGAAGGAAGTATTGGTTTCTGAGACCAAAGTGGAAAGAGTATGGGAACTTTGAATGGTCTCCCTGTCCTCAGGCCCTGGGCATTTTCTCTTTGCTGGGGAGAGGGCAGAGAAACATGACAGCAGGATTCTCCATGCTTTTTCCTTTAGAGTGGATCTTGATCACGAGGCTCTACCATGGGCCTTGAGCTAGTGGCTCTCTCTGGCCATCTGCTGTCCCCACAGCCTCTGAGATGACTTCTGTCAACTCTAATAGAGGAGTTTACCCACACTCCTGCACCACTTCCTTGTGTTTGGTTACTTACTTATTGGCTAGAGATGACCCAATGATCTCCTTCTGGTGAGTTATCATATTGTATTAACGTTAGATCAATACAAACTTGATTCAAGTGAATTGGTAAGATCTTCCAATACTTAAGGGAATTCTGTTTCTGCTTTGGAGGAGAACCTTATTATACAATTCTAGGTTTTGTCTTTAGGTGTTTTAAGCTCCTCCAAAGACTTGGCATTTGACAGAGGTAGCTTCCTGCCACTAATCAGAACCCAAGGAGATGCAAGTGTGAAGAATTCTCTCCACTTTTCTCAAACCATCAACCTGAGCCCAAATCAATTTGATTAGGGAGAGTTGATAAAAGTCTGATTGCAGTTATCTGCAAATTTCAAGTTACTGGAAATCTGGTAGAATATAGTACTGACAACTGAAGCAATTGATTAGTTAATTATCAATCCTTACCATTTCCTAAGAGTTAAATGTTTCTTGAGCCCAAGCTTCTGCAATTAATGTGCTCACTCTAGTCTCAGTCAAGGTCATGACTCTGTCCACCATTGGATACACCTCAAAGTGAAGAGGGCAGCTTCATTCCACCCATCGAATGGTGTCATATGCAGGTCAGTGCTTATGAAGAGAGAGTGATGATTCATGAATGCCTTCTGTGTACTGGACCAGAGCTGGCCAGCTGACCTTATCATATACTATCCTGGTAATAATTATGCAAAATATGATCATTATTATATCCAGCTAAAAGAGCAGGTCCAGAGAGGCCCAAGGCTATATACTAATACCTATTAGAGCCAGGGCTGGAATCCAGACATTCTCATGCTGAATATAATTTCCACTCTACCATGCTGCCTCTCTTATCTCTGAATAACTTTCCTAGCATTACACAAGAAAAATATTTAGAAATGTGATAGTTTATATTTATTTTTTTTCTGAATCACAGGCATCAATTTAATAATAGTTACTACCATTGTTAGCTATTGAACTAATAATTTATTGAGCACTTCCTATGTTCCAGGCTCTGGAATAATGCTATTATAATAATTCTATGACACAAATAGGTTGCTATTATCTCCATAGAGCAAATGAATAGAGGATATTCTAAGTAGAGAAGTTTGCACAGTTTTAGAATTTCTTTTGTGCCTTAGTTTTAAAAATATTTAAGATGTAACAATCAGCTAGCAGAAGAAGCTTAATTTAAGGGGAAATGTTAAACTGGGCTTTGGGGAATGGGCGTAATGATGAGGTGGCAGTAGGAGAGAAACACTGGAGGGAGAAGTGATATGATGAGAAGTTTAGTGTCATATTTGAGTTGCATTGTTTGGTCAGTGGGCTCCAAGGAAACCCTGATAAGATTTTTTTAATGCTCCCTCATCAAATATATGAAGTAAGAAGGCACATGGTTTGTCACTTATAAACTGTGGGACCCTGGGAAGGTCTTTAAATCAATCTCTATTTCTTCATGTCTGTGGGGAAATTCCACACACTTATGGGAAAATAAACAAGATCATGCACACACACACAAAAAACCCTCCTCACAAAGCCTGGCTCATGGTTTTGCTGAAATAGCCTGTTTATTCGGGGGTCTTCTATCTGCTCTGTGCCTTCCTTTCCTCATAGGAAAGGAGGACAAGGAAATGCTACCTCCCACAGAGGCAGCGAGGATTAAATAAATCCCTGTATTGCAAAGTTAGTGCAGGGTCTGGCACATGATAAGCTCTAACACCCTTTAGCTCTGTGTCGTGTGATTCAAAGACCTCATACTGGGGCCACGTTTCTAACCAAGTCATTGGTATGGCTAGGAGAAACACTGGCAGG